TAATTCAAAAACAAAAATCCTTTCTTTGTTTTGCTATTCGACGGCAGAAATTCTTCGTTCGATTTCTTCAAATTTATTTTCAGCCGTGTCTATTCTGCTTTCCAAAGCCTCAAACTTGTTTTCTATTATGGCAGTAACTTTTCGTTTTCTTTTAACTTGCTTCAGTCCTATTTTAGCCTGCTTCCATTTTTCCTTGAACTGACTAAATGACCCTTTCCATCTTTTCTTGGCCCAAATTCATCTCTTCTTTAAAGGAATTGATGGCACCTTCCATCCATTTTTGCATTGATTCAAAGATCAAGTTGCCTTAGTTGCTTCTTTATCCTTCTTGTCACAGGCATTCAACTACACTCCTGCCACCAAAAATTGTTACTTGCGTGCAGTGTTGTAATGGGTTAAATGCCCACAGAATTGCTAAAAGTTTAGGGAAATTTATCTTCCGAAACACTCTTTACTGTTCTGAAGCTTTTCATGCAAAAACACTCATACAACTCTTCTCGGTAGAAGCATAATCAGTAGTTACCAATTCAAACTACTGAGAAGCGTTAAACAGAATGCAATGCAAAGCGAAAACTCGCAGAGTGATCTCTCAGTACTCTGAAATCAACTGAAAACTGATGCTGTCTTCGGTCTTATATAGTTTTCTCCGTCTGCCGAGAAATCTAATGTACATTCGATTTCTCGAAATTGCTGAAAAGAATACACAGTTACAGTTACACAGCGCTCGGACACAGTTACAGTTAAACAGGGATCAAAACGAAATATCGCCAAATAATCAACAAGTTTGGTGACTTTGTAAGGTTTTTCTCCCGACTTCCTAGCGCGCCTTCGTGGTGTAAAGGCTCTGAACGCTGGGGCAGTATTCCAGAGGTCCGTGGTTCGATTTCCAGAGAAAGCGTTGCTAATTTTTCATCTCTTCGACTTTTGCAAAAAATACCTAATATCTCTACAATTTTTGGAGATTTCTCGTAAAATCTAGTGAATATAATTAGTCGCCAACATCATAGCACCGGAGCACTTTATCTCATTGTCAAATGAACTTACCTCCTGTACCCTATCTTTCCGGCGATGCTTCGCATTCTGATGATTTACATGTTACATTTTACGAGTCATACTACAATATGGATATAATTTTACTAAACTTATTTACGTGAATACAAAATTCGTGATACTATATATTATTTTAACTTCGTACTTTAAATTAATGAAGTTTACAAAGTTAAAAATAGTACAAAATACAGAGGAAAAATAAAAGTAAATAATTCCGAAAAAGTTAAAAGAAATTTACTAGATTTTATACGAAAATAAAAAAACAAACGTAAACCTTGAATCGGAAGCTCAACACTATAAATCTAACAAACTAAAACCTTATTACAGAATTTGATTTCATTAAATCTGTTATTTGTGAAAACGGTGGACAAAATGAAAATGTACTGTTTCCAATGTCACTGAAATGCAAAACAACGTTTCTGAAAGCCATGAAGCGTAAAAATTGAAAAACGAAAAAAGAATTTAAGATATTGCCCTGTTGTTTAATTGCCGAAGTAGCTTTGATTTCAGAGAAAAATATAAGTACATCTGTACATTGAACAAATTGTCAAATATAGTCTAGAAATTTCTTCACGTATTTTAATAATCACATTAAAGTGAGAAGGAAAACGTCTATATCTTTAAAACTAGAGGATTTGGATGCAAGACTGTGCTTCATATAAGCTGCATTCTTTATTTTAAGAGGTAAAACTAGAAAAACAAATAAAGTAATTCTAAAATAAATAGTACAATGATGATACAAACAATGATACAAACTACAAGTAACAAGAAGTTCGATAAAAAGGAAAAAAAAACAATGGCTTACGCCTAATACACAAAAGTTGAAAAAAAAAGCTTACTTGCTCCTACAATTTAAGTAGAAAAAAACTCCTCCTACAATATAAGTAGAAAAAAATAATCCCTAGACATCCACTTGGTTAAGAAATGGCTCTGATTTGACACTGTATATATATATATATATATATATAATGCTACTTTGGAAATTTTTAATTGAAGCAATTTCGCAAGTAGTAGAAAACTTAATTTCACTAAATGAATTTAAGATCATACAACATTATATATATATATTATATCCGCATATTGAACACTTTCGCTACTTTCATTTTTATGTTTACATGTTTTCATAATTGCTTTATGAAATCTTTATTAACTATTTTTTAATTATTCCAATTTTTACTCCAGTTTCAAACATAAAACTTCTACTCAGGTTTCTGAAATTTTGCACTAAACTTAGCAATGCCCCAATGAAACATAACTGGAAACAACGAAACACTTTGTAAATACTAATCTCTCAGGTATTTGGGAAAACGTACGAATGCAGAAAGTATTATAAAGCGTGAGAGAATATTAATGCTTATATATATAAATAATTAAATAAATAATATAAATAAGTATCGATAAAACTTCATTCTCAAAGAATATTAAACTAGATTTACATGTTCTAAAAGTTCTGTAATCAAAGAAATTTTGTTAAATGCAAAAGTTTTCTACTCTTTTTATCTCAAATACCATTTGGCCAACCAGTGACATAATAATTCAGAAGCCAAATGCTGGTAGTTCGACACGAGTTCAACTTAAGTATAACGTGAATACAATCGAATTTATATAGAAAATCCTTCATGTGTAGACCTTTGTCTTAGGTAGCTATTTCTCGTGTAATTAGCCATATTCAAATAACTTAACCTCACATATCATTAGCAAGTATCTACGAATATAAAGCACAAACGTTTCTTTTGACCTTCGTCATAAAATTATAATGAATTCATAATATATCATATACTAAAATTAACTTCAAGTATATATATATATATATATTTTTTTAATTTGTCTTGCACCCATCACGCTTCACTCCTCTCCCAAAAGAAAACATCCAATCCGCGATCAATTCCATTTGCGGATAAACTCGTTAGGAGCGATACCGCATCTACGAATTGAGAAATTTATTTATTATTCCGCAATATCACGCGAAAGCCCACGTTTTTGCCAGCCGCTCGAAATTGGCGACGAATCGTGACCTTATTAAACTTTCAAACCGTTTTTGGGTAGGGGAAATAAAGCCAAGAGAGTAAAAGAGAAGAAAAGAAAGAAAAAAATAAGAACTTCTCTCGCCCAATGAGACGTGAGTTCAGAGGAAATATCAACAATGGAAGATAAAGGCAATGGAAAGTTGGAGAAGCAATGAGTGTCTCTTATTTTTCTCTTTCTTTTGAAAGGTAGAGAATTATGGGAACCTATTGTTTCGAGCAGCTCTCAATTTTCCTAATGAAGGCAAGATTCATTCGCGAAATTAGTCGGAAAAACATCAGGTATTGAGTAGGGGAAAATAATCACTAATTCTTGAAAGATTCGTGCAAAGAAAATGAGCAGAAAATTACTGTTCGATTACTTCTTTAATATTGATGGCATGGAAGAAAAATAATCCTCCATTTGTGGTCCCGACTTTATACTTCATGATCTTTTAATTCGCTTGAGATGTGAAAAACTTCAGAAAACGGATATTTCCCCTCAAAACTCAGTACACATGCTATTCGTTAATTATAAAAGTGTATAATTTAGATATCCAATATCTCGGTAAAAGTGATGATTGCGCTTTTATAAAACTGAACACCAATTCTATTTAACAAGCAACAAAGTTGTCCTCTGAATTTCTATAAACGGAAAGTTTGTAGAAAATTCTTAGTTAGAAGTAAATAGAATCTCAGCAAAATCTGATTTCCTGTTAAAAGAAATAAGTACACATAACGAAATCTGCAAGCATTTCTGCTCTGACTATTGATACTATAGATGGTATTATTTAATATAATAAGGATGAAACATCAATAACTAATCGCATGCATAAACTTTAGTTAGTAACTACTGAAATGAAATGCACATACAACATTAGTTCAAAATTGTGGCGGTCCCTCTTTACGCAAGGCTCGGACCGTCGATGTAAGGATTCTTCGTGTGGTCTGGAAAATACTAGTCATATCGCGGACCTTAGCGGCAGCTACTTAGCAGCAAGATCCGTAATGGAAACAAAGGAGATCTCGTATAAGCGGGATTTCAGGTATTGCCATAAAAAAGAAATTGAGAGGAGACAGACCAAAGTGAGCCTGGCAGACAAGTAATGAATACCCAAGGTGAATCCATTTTACTAGAAATATGGTATGTAGGCAAATATGAAGAACCGTGCTGAAATGCGTTGGTGTGCAATAATGCAGAAACAACATTTTTTGATGAATGGCTGGCAGTGTATGTTGAAAGACTTCCGTGAACATTTGTTGGAAAAATAATCATGTAACTCTTTATATCTAAAAGCTCCGGTGTCAGGTAGGGGCTATTAAGGTAATCATTAAAGATACCCGCTTACACATTCAGTTTGAAGAATCGTTGGCTAGTTTCGAGATGTATTGTTTACTAATTAAAGCTAACTCAAATAGGTTGTTCAATAAGTTCGCGGAACGGAAACTAAGAAACCAATTTTTATTTGTAAAAATGACTTTATTTTTCAACGTAATTTCCCTCAACTTCAATACAATATATGAAGATGGTCTTCTAATTTATGGATCCCTTGACTGTATGGTTTTTCGGCAGCTCTGCAAAATATCCCTCCACGGCAGCTATTATCTCTTCGTTTGAAGGAAATCGTTTTCCACAGAGATATTGTTTTAGGTCTGGGAAGAGCCAGAAGTCGGAGGGAGCTAAATCTGGCGAATAGGCTGGATGTTGCAACAATTCGTACTTCAATTCAGTTATTTTAGTAATTTTTTTTGAGCTGTGTGCGCAGGTGCGTTATCTTGGTGAAAAATGATCTGTAATTCGGGTCTTCTTTCGCGAATTTTTTCGTCTAATTTATTCAAAAGGTTATAATAATAATCAGAATTAATTGTTTTGCCAGTTTCTATAAACAATAAAAGGTAATCTATGAACAAAATTCCTTTCGCATCCCAAAAATCTGATGCTAAAACCTTCTTGGCTGATTTTTGCACACGAACTCGCTTCGGCGCCGAAGAGCCGGGTTCACACCACTCCTTAGCCTCCTGTTTTGATTCAGGATCATGATGGTAGACCCAAGTCTCATCCAGTGTGATAAATCGACGGATAAAGTCGCTTTTATTCTTCTTAAAACGCTCCAAATGTTGCTGGCAAAGTCGCATCCGAATGTGTTTTTGCTCCATCGTTAGAGAATGCAGCACCCATTTTGCACAGAGTTTTTTGAAACCCAAATTAACACTCAAAATATTGCTCACTGTGCCCAATAAAATGCCTAAAGAATCTGTTAAATCTCTTTCAGTCAATCGACGGTCTTCCAATACCATATCTTGTATTTTTCTGATGATTTCCGGTGTTGATGCAGTTTTTGGACGTCCTTCTCGCGGATCGTCTTCAAGGCTGGTACGACCACTTTTGAATAAATTAGCCCACTTGCAAACCATTGTTTTTGAAGGAGCAGATTCACCCAACACATTCACCATTTCAGTATGAATTTCCATTGCCTTTAAACCTTTCTTTACAATATCTGCACGTTGCTCAATTTTTCGATACCTGAAAAAAGGCACAACACGTTAAGATATAAAGGGCGGTTAAACAATGAATAAATTAACAGATCGAAATGAAACTTTTGACGTGTTCCTAAGAAAGAACAAATATGAAAATGGGGTCGAAGTTTTAGGTCTAATATTGACGAATAGATGGCGCTCCGCGCACTTATTGAACAACCTTTATGCACATCGTGGGCTTTTAAAACACCTTCATCAGCAAATGTAGTTTCTCCGGCGAACAACATATGTGTCAGAACTGCCACTATTTTGCTGCAAGAACAACGTATGCAGGATTATTTCTGGGCTTCAGTTACTGTACGCTGCGCCATTTCAGATGTAAACTCTGAAAATTTAAAACTCGCCGTACCTGATATACGATACAACTGTGTGAAATCCTACAAATCTAGTGCTAACGTCAAGCTATTGCCCTGCTTGATGCCTGATGCTCGAACACTTACCACGATCTGTGTTCTACACATCAGCATGATAACTTCCTCTTTCTAAGAGTTGGCGGTGCAAACGCACAAAACCCCATGATGATCCGTATATTGACCCCATGAACCGCCAGTTGAAAAAGCGCTCTCCGTAAAAGCTTTTAGTATATATTTTTGCCATTACGATCGTCAGATCGCACAGAAAATGCATATACACTGAAAAGCGAAAACATTACGACCATTCCCACATTTTTCAATGAACCCGTCTGTATGACCTGGAAAGCAAGTAATGAACTGAGAATGGAATTTAACTGCTGCTTGGAGAAGGTAACGAATCATTCTTATGCTTTTGCGAGTGATGGGAAAGTCACATGATTTAAACGAATTTGATAGAGGCATATTGTAATGGCCCAAAGATTTGAAACGTGTTATGCTTTGAGAGACATTCTCATGGGCAGTCCTGGGACCCTTAAATGTGGTAGAACAAATATGAAAACTGCGGATCAGTTGTTCTCTTACATGGCGTCTGTCTTCCTAACTGGAAATAGAATCTCCCAGCAGGACAACGCGCCATGTTACAAGGCTCAAATTGTGTTGGAGTGGTTCGAAGAGCATAAGGATGAGTTACAATTAATGTTCTGGCCACCTAACTCACTGAATCTTACCCGATAAAGCACATTTGGGATATTATAAAGCGGCAGCTCAGAGCTCATACACCACCAAGTCGGCATATCTCGACTTTGCGTGATCTCTGCTTAGATATTAGGTATAATTTGTCTCCAGTCATCTACCAAGAACTTGTGGCATCCATGCCAAGGCGAGCTGCAGCTGTTTTGTAGGCTAAAAGTCGCGCAACGCGTTATTCAGTAAATGGTCATATTTTGGTTCTTCAGTGTATACTTTCTCCTCATCCGTATATTGATCCATACCAAGTTCGTACTGAACTTATTTTGATACCTTGATACTGTTGTTTATACAGTAGCATTCTGTAGTTTTTACTGCGATTTCCAGCATCCTGAGGTATTCTCTAAAAGAAGCCTGAAAAGTAAGCAGCACCTCATATGAGTTTGCGTAACGAAGCAATAGAGGTAGTTTAAGGTAAATGATGCATTTTATATCTCTGCACTCCTGGCATACTCTAAGGAGGTAGCTGTTTTAGTAATAAGAAGTAATGCAAGCTGAGTTACCTAAATGTTTCAGCTCGTTCGATGATGTGAAGGGATGAGGGAAATTTTCAAACTACGGCTCTGATGAATTAAAATTAAGAATATCGGTTAAACTGAGACTACAAATGCTTGATATACAAAATAAGTTTAAAATAAAATGAACAGTTCATGAATTGCGTTGCAACACAAATGCCTAGCTCGTTATTAAATCCCCGAAATTCTTGCAATTTATGTTTGGGGTTGCTGCCCTCTCCAGAAGAAGTGTGACTGGGGAGCAGTTTCATCTGGTAGAATCGTCCATGGCGCCGCGGTGAGCTCATAACTGAATAGATTTCATTCCGGGTGGATCAGTTAATATAGCAAAATGTATTATCGGCTAAAGAATTTTATATGCAAACAAAATGGAAGCAACATTTTTGAAAAATTAAGAATTTGCAAATTTTATAATCTTTCAAAAATGGCATGAATATAAGAAGCACAGGATAGGTAATACCGATGTTTTAGGGGAAAAATATATATATATGTGTCAAGAATGTCTTAGTTCTAAGACAAAATATTGCTTTTTATTTTAAGTAAAGAAACATTGCCCCCCCCCATTTAATTTTTTTAAATTTTTTATTTTAATTATTTATTCATTTTTTTACTTATTTTTCATTTTTCTCAAAATGATTTTTTTACCATATTAAAACATTATGCCAGCATGAAATTTTCATCATAGATAAAATCAGTCACTTTTTTAATTACATTATTAAATTATTTGAATTAATTATTGCAGCATTGTTTTTAACACAAGTAATTACTACTTAATTAACTTTATACTGAATACCTTTCAAATGAAATTTGCATTTATAAACTAAAATTATGAACAATTAATTAACATCGTGACTTAGTACAAGATTAGGATTTAATTAAACGGTTTTTTATATATTATATTGTTCATACATTGATTTTTTTTCATTAAACAGCAAATGTTTTTAAAAAGGTTTATGCATGTAATTGCAGCTTAATTCAAACTCCTGCTTTCAATTTCGAAATAGGTTGCAGTGCATTTTGGCGAAATTTTGAATGGAAACTAGAACAATAAATTATTCAAATATTAAAATAACATGACGGAAACTTAAATTAAAAAATAATAGTAAAAATCAGAAAATTAATTTTAATTATTGTTGTGAATCAAATAATTCCCAAACAGGAACTTTCTAGAAAAACTGAATTCATTTGCTTTGCAATATAAAACGATTTCAGCATATAAAATGTGCTAAAAAATTCCGTTAAACAAGAAATTAAAATTTTTACTATTCCCCTTGAAGTAACTAGTTATATCATGACTATTGACTGGTAAAAAAAATTCCAGAAAACGCATAAAGAAAACTATTTCAAGCTTCATAATCAAAACTTCATTTTCCAATGCGTGAACTTATCTCAGCGTAAGGAAATTTTATTATAACTGTAAGGACAAGCCTTATATTTCTATGGGATGAAGTCATCTAACATATTTTCATTCGCGCGGCTGTTACGGATTATATCAAAGTCGAGGCAGAGTGGCTTGTCAGTTCGCACGATTAGTATGTTGCATTTGTTCCCTTTCATCACACTTTGCTCCCCGTTCGATGAAGTTGCTACACAGTGGAAATGAAAATCGGTAGGATATTTTTCCTTGCAACGTATTTGTTTCAAATTCGGGCATAAATTTCAATTCCTTATCGAGTAAAAAGACCTCGAAAATTAAGCTATACTGGAGATTATTTCTACGAATAGTCCAGAATGTTTTTATAAATTGGATGCAAATGAGAGTAATGAAATGGTTTTCTATTCTCAAGATGGACCAACGCAAGTTTATTTCGAGAAAGCGATTTTAATGTAAAAGAAAAATGTAACTGTAGCATTGCTATTAAGAGTTATTTTTCTTTATTAATATACACCGAATTGGGCTCTCGTAAGTTTACTACGAGTAGTATTTAGATGACTATGTGTTTTAGCAGCCATTCAGAGATATTATATATAATCAAGAGTAATCTCTCTAATTTTTAGTTCAGAAATTTCTTTTGAAAGAAAGATGTTAAGCATAATATATGAGTTAAGTCAAATACACTCATGTCCATAAATTAAGGATAATTCGAAGTCACGCGGAAATCGAACTCTAAAATAAGTATATCACCTGTAAAATCACTACACACATCTTCAAGAATCATGTGCAAATTTCAGGAAGTAACCAGATGACACCGATGGTACGTCACAATGATGAGAGTGTAAGAGAGTGATATATAGGGAATACAGGCAAAGAAGTAAAATTGTTCGCAGGCGCTTTATAATCATTTCAGTGCAATAACCGAATAGTTATGACACAAAGGACGCATTTGGATGATTTTTTACGTGGTAGAATTATCGGCCGTCTGGAATGTGGGCGTACCCAACTGGAAGTATCAGACGAACTTTGAATTGCACAGAGTATCATATCCAGGCTTTGGCAACGATTCCAAGATGATGGTAATGTGAGTAGACGTTACAGCACAGGTCGCCCCAGAGTTACAACGCTGAATGAGGACCGGTATTTGGCAGTTACTGCCAAAAGAAACAGGCGGAGCACAGCCTGTCTCGTCAGCTCTCTTCAGTCACTGGTACGACAATTTCAAGGCAGACCGTGTACAGACGCTTAGAGCAGATTGGTCTATATGCTCGTAGACCTGCCAGATGCGTTCCACTTACTGCAACTCACTGTCACCTGAGGTTAGCCTGGAGTAGAGAGCATGCATTGTGGACACCGCAACAGTGGGCTTGTGTGATGTTTTCCGACGAGTCCAGGTTTAGCTTGCAGTCTGATTCTCGCGGGAGTTTCATATGAAGAGCATTAGGTACCCGTTACAACCAAGAAAACATCATTGAACGACACCGTTACGGTGGTGCAGGAGTGCTCGTTTGGGGTGGAATTATTCTGGGTTCCAGAACTGACCTGCATGTTCAAATTGGAACCATGACAAGCCAAATCTATCGGGACGTCATTCTGGAAAAACATGTACGTTTGTTTCGGGGCGCCATGGGCGCACAATTTGTGTTTATGGATGACAACGACCGTCCTCACCGTGCAAACATCGTAAGTGAATGCCTTCAATCGGAGGATATCACCCGTATGGACTGGCCAGCATTCTCACCGGACTTGAATCCAGAAGAGCGCGTGTGGGACATGCTTTGATGCTTTGCCGACGAGTTGCAGCCCGTCAACCTCCTCCTACATGTCTACCGGAACTTCGGAGAGTATTGCTTTTTGAGTGGTGTAATATCCCCCAAGATCAGATCGATAATTTGATACTCAGCATGCCTAAGCGTTGTACGGACTGTATTGCATCGTCTGGGAGACATACAATGTATTAACAATCATACCAACCATGTAATATATATATATTTTTTTTGGTAAATAGGTGTTTTTTTTTTTTTTTTTTTTTTTTTTTTTTTTTTTTTTTTGTAATTTGCTCCAGGGAGAAAAATCGCTAATTTTTAAAATAATATCAAACATATAGCATCTTTTTTGCTCTTTACCTTTTGTTTAATAAATAAGCTTTACAAATAAGTCAAATTTGTTTTGCTTCTAACTCTTCCTTTGCCTGATTTTGCATTATCCTTAATTTATGGACATGAGTGTAATTTGTTTATCTTATGATTCTTCAAATAGGCTTAAAACACATACGGGGGAATTATAAAATATATAGCAAAAAAATGTAAATGCAGGTAAACAGGACAGCCGCCCAGCCAGTTAGTGACACTGACTGCAGTAGCGATGGGCTCGAGTTCGAATCTCGGAGAAGGCATGCTCGTAACTATTCATCCCTTCATGGGAGGTAAGGGTGGACACCTATTAGGTGTTTCCATAATGAAATGGCCACCACTTTCGGCCCTTATAGTGGTGCAAGGCTAATGGCTATTACACAAAACGCTCGGCCATTAAAAAAAAGATAAACAGGACCCAAAATAAGCTGATCTTGTAATGAAATGTGAGTGAGGAACTGATGTGTTGAAGGGTGCTGCTGAGTAGTGGTCAAGAACCTTCAGCAGGAGTAAATCGTCAATTCCCGTACAATTTTGAGCGTTATGCGTTGCTAAATAAACAAGGAGCTCACCGACATGCATTTGTCTACGGACTGAAGCTAAAATGGAACAACTACGCAAAAGACGAAGAGAGAATGGTGCCCGAGCATACAGTATACATTGAGCAGGTACTCCATTTATGTCCATTCGGTATTTAATACTATAGGTTTCCAGAGCACTCATTGTCAAAGAAAGTATAAAATTGGGAAAATTGCATAAAATTATTGCATTTCCTCTTGCGTGCTTTCATGTTGTTAATATGTCCAGGTAGCAAATGAAAAATTATCCGTAATTCCGAGAGTGCGATTGATTTTTCTCGTTTCCTTCAACAAACAAATACTCTCCAACTTCTCCCGCCTTCTTCGTATGCCTTAGTGGTGTAGTGGTCGACACGCTCGAGGCGTATGCTAGAGGTCCGTGGTTCGAGTGTCGACGAGGCCTCTGCTCATTTTTCATCTCTCCTACTTCGAAGTAACTTAATGACTCTACAATCACTTAAAATGATGTTAATGAACTTATAACTGCTATATGAACTTAATCATTTAAATGTAAAAAATCATTTATAAATGATTATACACATGTGATTATCAATCAGATTCCTTAAGATTAATAAGTAAAGTAGCAAACTTGAAAACAGCTCAGGTACTCGAGGGGTTTATTATTAGTGAAATAATAAAAATATTGGCAATTCTTACATTTATAAATAGCATATTTTTGCATTTTAAAATGCCAAAAGGCGTAGATACCTAATACAAATACTGACTATATGACACATAAAATT